AATGTCAATCTTGCTTTGGCTCAACTTATTCTTAATATAAGCATCCCTTAAGTTTTCTTTGTTCCTTAAAGCTATCCATTACAACATTCCTGCAAACTCACCAGTCCTCTAAAATTCATTGCTATCAAATACATATTTGATTTGATCTCACAGACTTGTTAGGATTACACCTCACTTCGACTATAAATTGAAAATTACAGTTCCTATTCTTAGAAAAACTAACCATTACATAATTTTGCATATGATTTTAGGAAATTCATAGTCACACCGGTCAAAAACTCCTGCCATAAAGGATGCCTAGGTTAGAATGAACCTATGCGTCTCAGGTGCCTATTGCACCTGCTGCTACATAGCCTGCTGGTAATTCTACAGAGGTAATTCAGGCACAACGGCACATGAGTCACACTTTGTATGGGGGTATTTAAATTTTCTGTAAACTTTTTATTTTGAAATAATTCCAGACTTCATAGGAAAGTTACAAAAACACCACAAAGAATTCTTCACTCAGATTGCTCAAAAGTTACTGTTGGAACATTTAATTTTAAACAACTTCAATTTGAGTTTTTTACTATACTGTAGCCTAATCTCCTTAAACAAACAAAAGTTCAATTTAGTACCTAGGGAGTAATAATAACCTTAGTATAGGACCAAAGTCTCATATCAACAATTTCAAAATCCCCAAATCTCTGAAACTCAAAGCTTCTTCCTAACTCCTTCAGCAGCAAAGCCTGACTGAACCCATTTACAGTCATTATTTACCCATTATAATGTGAACATTTGTAGGTTTCACTGTAGAAACGGTGGTGTCTGATTATGCAACAGTGCCCCAGTCCTACTAGGGATGAATATACTATAGTAAATGTACCATATCACCAAGGATTTCAGATAAGAGAATGTAGACATCTAATTGTCATTGAGTACCATTTCATTTAATCCTCTCAACAATCCATTAAATTGGATCTTGCCCAAGATCACCTAACGGGTACCATATGGCAGAGGCAATATTCAAATTCAAGTTTATCTGAGTCAACGCCCTAAACTGAAAAAAGCACTGAAAACAAGTCTCTTAAAAACAGAATATTGGATGCATAGGAGTTGAAAATAATTCTTTGAAAATATTTAGTATCCCCTTCTTCCCTCTTTTTAGTAAATAACACTACAGCTAAATAACTAATAACATTATCTAAAACCTTGGTCATTTTCATACAAATGGCTGAGAAAACACAGGTATGCTGAAGAAGGTACTTCTAAGTGTCTTTTTTCATTTTCTTTCCCTAAAAGTGAAGTACAGGACCTTATATATTCATCTTGTTACTTCTACATCACCTTTTTAGCAAGCAAAATTTTCTGCAATCCTGATTCTGCCATATATTACATTCACTAAGAATGTCTTCCGTATTAATCTAAGTCAGTGGTTCTCAAATAAGGGTGATTTGGCTTCTCCCGTGCCCCTACTCCAGGAGACATCAGGCAATGTCTGGAGACATTTTTTGCTGTCATGTTTTTGTTGTGCCTGTGTGTTTCTGCTACCAACATCTAGTGGGTAGAAGCCAGGGATGCTGCTAAACATCCTAAAATGCACAAGTGCAGCCTTCCACAACAAAGAATTCTTTGGCTCAAAACATCAACAGTGCCAAGTTGAGAAATCAAGATCTAAATCACTGATGAAAATGCTGAACAAGAATGAACAAAATATTGGGATAATACACTAAAGAGATGTCCAAGTTGACGATCTATGATCTAACCAGCAACATTCTTTAAGTAGGGCTTTCAACTAGCTGGGAATTCATCTTAATGCTTTATTATTCATCCAACACCTGAATATAGACATTTTAAATTCAGTTAATGGCAAAACTACTTTCCACTTAAAAATAATCACGGGTAATTTAACAATGAACAAATGGAAAAATTCAGTTTACAAAGATCTGAATTATTTTTTCACTGAACTGACTCCCAGATGGTTCTATGAATGAAAGATCATCTTATCAGAACAAATTAGATCAAGTCAAACTTTACATTTGAATTTTAAGATCTCACTCTGGAACACAGAATGAATATTCCATATCTCAGCAGCAATTGAATAAAAGCAAATTAAAACCAAGTATCATTTCAACCTTTCAAATTAGCAACAATTTTTTTTTAAAAAAGAGACAACTCAGTGCTAGTGAGATGTTTAAATAGATATTCTCATATACTACAAATAGAATTGAAAACTAGTTTAACCTTTGTTTATTAATAGTCCCACTTTATAGATGAGGAAACTGAAGCAAAGAGAAATTAGGTGGTTTAGCTTAAGATCATATAGCTAGCTGATAAGAAATTTAAACCCAGGCAGCCTGGCTCTAGTTTGTGCTCTTGTTTTTCTGAGGAAGGTTAGTCCTGAGCTAACATCCATCGCCAATTTTCCTCTTTTTGCTGAGGAAGATTGGCCCTGAGCTAACATCCATGCCTATCTTCCTGTATTTTATATGTGGGATGCCTGCCACAGCATGGCTAATGAGCGGTGTGTAGGTCTGCAGCCGGGATCTGAACCAGCGAACCCCAGACCGCTGAAGTGGAATGTGTGAACTTAACCGCTGTGCCACTGGGCTAGCCTCCAGTTTGAGCTCTTAACCACTCCATTTTACTATCTCTAGGTTATACAGATTTTTTTTAACAAGTATTTAAAGTGCATCAAAAATAAGTGGAAGGCAAAACTAAAGGATAAACATACTGGTGAAAATATTCACAATGTATGTAACAGACCAAGGTGAGATATGAACACGCACATCTTAAACAAAAAAATTCAAGAGCTCAGCCTCTCTAATAATCAGATATGCAAAAAAAGTTTAATAATATTCAATTAAAGTGCAGGTATAAGTAAAATAGGCACTCATACTTTTTTGATGAAGGTACAAAGTGGTACTTTGTTGGGAGGACAATTTGGAGTTTCTCTAGAAAGTCTAAATGCATGTAGTCTCTGACCCAGCTATTTTGCTTTCTAGGAATTGAACCTACAGAAAAGTCACATAAGCACACAAAACAATCTGTTCAAGGAAGTTTATTACAGAATTATTTGTAATAAGTAAAAACTAGAAATAAGCTAAATGTTCCTGAATATGGGAACAATTAAATAAATCAGGATATAATAGTCATAGTTGGAATACACTACTTAAAAATGAGGCAGATTTGCATTAACAAGTAAAGAGTTCCATAATATATTGTTAAACGGAAAAGAACTAGCTGCAGAGAAAAGTGTGCCTTTATTCATAAAAAATTAATGTTTAACTTGAGGAGAGTCATGTAACTTTTTATACTTTTATGTAAGTATTTAATATTGTGTTTTACTTAATAAATTGAAAAAAGAAGAAAACAGGATGAGAAGGAAACATGAAATGTTCTCACTAGTCAACTCTACATAGTAGAATTACAGGAGCTATTTTTCCTTTAAACTTTTTTATATGAGGATGTATTATTTTGACAATTGCTCCCATATACTGATTCCTTCCTACACTCCAGTTGGTGTCTAGGTAAATTAATACACCAAAGGTCGCAATTTTACATGGTAGCTCTCATCAGCTCCATTTTACAGATGTGCAAGAAGCTAAGAAATTAATTCTAAAGCCTATCGCATACTATGTTGCTAATCTACCCAGGGGAAAACTTACTAAAAATGTATGAAAACCAACCCCAAATCATTGCAAATTCATGAGCAAAACGCATCATGCAAGAAGAGTCCAATTTGCCATTTCAGAGATCTGAAGTGTTCCAAAATAACAGAGTATAAATTTGGGTTCTAAACCCAGAAAATATACTGAATGCAATATTCTTCCAAAAAACTTCCCACATATATTCATGTATCTAGAGACCCCCAAATTTTACATTTGAGGATATCTGCTTTTTAGTACTGAGAAATAAAATCTGATGGCAATCGTGCTGAATGGTTTCCCTCATAAAACAGAAAAACATTTTATATTTGAGAAGGGAAAAGCCAGTTACCTTACATTTCAAATGCATTATGTCAATTTCTAAATATTTCAGCTTCAAAATGCACCAAGGAACCATCTCATATTTGATAAACACAAGGCATTACTTTACTTCTGGACGCCAACCAGGAAAAAGGAAAACCACTTTTACAAGTATTTATGTCTTGAAACATACATAAAATAAATGGAAAACATCTCCTTCTAACAATATAACATCTTTTGAAAAGGTGGAAGGTTCATCAGAATAATGACAGTTCCGATGGTTCTTTCTTTTCAATTTATGGAGTGGTAAAATTGGAAGGGAACCTAAGAGTTTACCTCGTACAACTCCCACATCAAACAGATGAGGCCCAGAGAAATGAACTGCTCTACTCAAGGCCTCACAGTTACTAAGCGGCTGACGAGGGAGGGACTCACTCAGGTTTTTTGATTCTAAATCCAGAATCCTGATTTTTGAAAGGTATTATCCAATAATTTAGTGGGCCGCTTACAGTTCTTTGGGATCCTGTTCTCCTCTGTACTAATGGGGCCTTTTTAATCCAGCACTTTCAGAAAGCAGCAAACTAATGTGTGTTGTATTATCTGTACTCAACAGATTCACTACAGAGTGAATATTTTCAAAGTCCCCTTCTTCCCCATCACTGGTTTACAAATAAAATCTTATTTGGAATCCTAAAGTAGAAGGGATTATAAAAGCCAAGACGCTCTGGTTACAACTGTGCAGAGGGCCTGCTCTGACTCACTGCTCTGTCCCTAAAGCCTCTGAAATACTGCCATGTATCTTGGGTCTCAGAGATACAGACACATACACACAAACAAACACATACACACACACTCCAAGCCCAAATTTTTATTAGAGTCACATGACATAAAATTAGCATAAGTTTCTAAATGCTTATTTTCAATTTGTGCAGTTATCTTGTCATCGCCCAATAACATACAGCTTACAGATCACACTCTGGGTAGCAATGCTCTACAGCAAAGCAAACCTTAAAAGACGTTCCTGACCAAATCAGAAAGAAGTTAGAAACTTACTTCTTATCAAAAAACGTTGAATTTTCTTTCCTCTTGGTGAATCCATTGGGTAGAAGTTTTAAGTTAATACCTTGCTTTCTGGCACGATTTTTCATAAAGTACATCTAATAGCCAAAAACAAATAGACAAATTAATTTTAAAATGCCTTAAATTTCAAAAGTTAATAACACAATGTTCAAAATATAATAGTCAAGATTTACTGAGTACTATGTTTCACAAACTGTGCTAAGCAGCAATATCTCATTTAACCCTCACAATACTATGAGACAGGTACTATTATCATCCCCATTTTAGCAATGAGAATTAAGGAGATGCCAATATTATACAGCTATTTCTGAGAGGCCGGGCTTGTATTCAAACCCAGGTCTGTCTCATTCCAGCTGGTGTTTTTAACCATATGCTCTAGAGGCCAAAAGGATTTCATGGGGATTTCAAAAATACAGGCCACTTAGCAATCATAGTGGCTACCTATACAGTTCTTTCTCTTTTACTGATGTTTGTATAACATAGTTGGCTGTACATATGCCTGATTTTATTACTAGGCAGTTAGCTCACTCAGGGGAGGAACCATGGCACTGCCTAGTACAAGGCCTAACCTAAAACAGCCACTACTGCAGGCTGTACAAAATGGGATATGAGACGTGTGTTACTCCACTGACCACCGGGGCTGGTTGAGCTGAGCTAGTCAATTCCAGAGAACAGCGAAGGACGTAATACCATGAAGAAAGGAGAAAGATCACTCAAAGAAATGGCATAGTATAAATGCAAGTTGATGGTTAAGTGAATGGGGATCTAGAATTTGCAATGCAAAGAGTTAGACAATCAAGTCATAAGCCAAGGGAAAAGAAAGGCCAGCTATTACTGGCTAAGCGGGAAAATGATTTAAGAAAGTACATGCAATTTTTAACTTACGAAACTTTGGTTTCAGTAATGGCATTGATTACAGGGACCAACTCTTCCCCTGAAAACATCTAAGGATGCCAGATAATGGGGGAAATATATACACATAATAAAATATAAAATACATTTAAAAATCACCTTAAAAGCACTGAAGAACTGACAGAAACAGGTTGGAAAATACAGGACAATATTTAATGAAAAGTGAAAACTCAGACAGCTAAGCAAAGCAATGAAGCCACTTTTGCTAATTCTGGCAAATACTGAGTGCCCCTTTCAACAGCTTCCTCAGCAAGTGGGTCAGCGTCAAGACCCAGCAATCTTCTAGGAAGCTTCTGCAAATGAAGCTGAGTCGCACAGTAATACAACCTCAGCATAAGAATGAACCAGAAATAAACTCCACCTCCAGAGCATGCTAGGAAATTTGTATTAGTGTGACTAGAACAGGAAAAAAGAAAAAAAGGAAAAAAAATCCATTAGAAGTTGTGGCCATGGGCCAGCCCTTGCTCAGATATGAAGTGATTTGCCTTGCTTGTGTGGTCAAGAGAATCACACAGCTTCAACTTGGTTTAAGATAGGTGCAGATTTGCAAAGTTCCCAGGTACCTGGTAGAATAAAAGAACGTCCGCTTGTCCTGGTCTTCAAAAAATTCTCACAAATAATTTTTTAAGGGAAAAAAGCAGTACTTGATAAAAAAAAAAAATAAGCATAAACAATACAAGAAAACAAGGCTCAGTGAGCAGGAACCAAAAGAGAAAAAAAAAGGTAGCTGAAAGCTCCCCATATTTTCAGACATGGAAATAATCATACACAGATTATAGAACTCTGCAAAATTCAAAGGAATAAAAGAAAGCTTGAAAATACTGTGAAAAGAAACTATAGAAAGTGTCTCAGCAGGTTTTTAAAAGAATGAAACAAACCAGAAATTTTCAGAATGCATTATAGAGATAAAAAGATGAAAAATTCAGAAGAAAGGTTAAAGGATAGGTAAGATGTAGGGAAAAGGCCTAAGCCACATTTAATGGTCATTTTAGAAGGAGAAGAGACAAAGAATAAGGCAGAAATAACATTTTACATAGTAATCAACTGATAATTTCCCAGAACTGATGAAACACACTCCACAAATTCTAACAGAAACCTAACAATTCTCAACTAAGATGAATAAAAAGAAATTTGCATTTTGCCATTATAGTAAAAATGCAGGGGGGGCCAACCGGTGGCGCAGCAATTAAGTGTGCAAGTTCCGCTTCGGCGGCTCAGGGTTCACTGGTTCAGGTGTGGACATGGCACCACTTGGCAAGCCATGCTGTGGTAGGCATCCCACATGTAAAGCAGAGGAAGATGGGCATGGATGTTAGCTCAGGGCCAGTCTTCCTCAGCAAAAAGAGGAGGATTGGCAGCAGATGGTAGCTTAGGGCTAATCTTCCTCAAAAAATAAAAATGCAGAAATATAAAAAGAATTCAGCCAAAGAAAAAAAATTTCAAAGTCAGTTTAACAATGACAGATGACTTGGGGCCAGCCCAGTGGCATAATGGTTAAGTTTGTGCACTCCACTTTGGCAGCCTGGAGTTTGGAGGTTCAGATCCCGGGCACAGACATACACATTGCTCATCAAGCCATGCTGTGGCAGTGTCCACATACAAAACAGAGGAAGACTGGCACAGATGTTAGCTCAGTGACAATCTTCCTCAAGCAAAAAGAAGAAGATTGGCAACAGACGTTAGCTCAGAGTCAGTCTTCCTCACTTAAAAAAAAAAAAAGATGATGACTTTACAACAATAACAATGGAAGCCATAAGATAATGGAACAATAATTTTGAACCCAGAATTCTATAGAGGAAAATCATTTAAGAGTGAGGATGAAATAAAAATTCAAACAAAAACCAATAGAGTAATCTAAGAGTTGGCAACCAGCAAACCCTCCCTAAAGGATATGCTAAAGGATGTACTTGGGGCAGAAAGAAAGTGATCTCTCAGATGGAAGGTCTAAGATGATGGAAGGAATTAAAGAGCAAAGAAAGTGGGAAATATGAAGATAAACCAAAATAAACACTGACTGGATAAAACAGTAATTATTGCATGGAGATTTAAAAATGACAATTTAAATACATGAAAACAATAAGAATAATCAGTAGAAAGTTAAAGGGAATTTAAGTGTTCTAAGGTAACTGCTGGTAAACTAGGGCCAAATCCTGCCTCCTACCTATTTTCATAAATAAATTTTGTTGGAATACAGCCCCATCCATTTGTTTATGTACTTTTTATGGCTGCTTTCTTGCTACAATGGCAGAATTGAATAGTTGTGACAGAAAGCATATGGCCTGGAAAAAAATATTTACTATCCAGCCCTTTACAGAAAAACTCCTACTCTAAAGTCCCTGCATTGTCTAGGTACAGGGGTAAGGTACCGATTAACTTTAGATACTGGTAAATTAAGTATGCATGTTGTGACATGTAGTCTAACCAATGAAAGGACAGAAAAAGGGTTTATAACTTCTAAACTGGTAGAAAAATTCAAATGATAAAAAAAAAAATCAGTCCAAAAGACAAAAAGAAAAAAACAAAACAAATGGGACAAATAGCACAAATAAAGTGACATGTTTAAAGTCAAATATATAGGTAATTTTATTGAAATGTACGTGAACTTAATGATTTAGTTAAAAGTTACAGATTATCAGACTGGAGTCAAACTAGAACCCTACTATATGGTACTTAGAAAAGACATATCCAAAACATAAAGTAACAGAAAGGCATAAAGGAAAAGTAGAAAAAAATACACCATGCAAATACCAAGCAAAGGACTGGTATAGTTTGATCAATATTAGACAAAGTAAACAAAAAAAAGGATAAAAAGGGTCACCGCATAACACCAAAGGTTAAAATACCGAGAAGCAATATTTCCTGAGGTATGCGTTTAATTATTTAGCTTTAAAGTACATAAAGTAAAGCTAACTGAACCACAGGGGGAAACATACAAATCCTTTCAATTTTACCTACTGGGAAACGTTAACATACCTCTCTTGTTAACATACCTCTGATGGAACACACAGACAAAAAAAATCAATAATGTTATAAATAATTTGAATGACATAATTAAAAAACTGACCTAAAAGGGATATATACAATACTATATTCAGCAACTGCAGAATACTTTTTTCCCCCAAGCAAACAGAAAACTTGACTATATGCAGGGCCATAAACACAAGTCTTAACATATTTTAAAGGAAAAAACTCAGAAAGAAAATGTTCTCTGATCACAATGCAATTAAGCTAAAAATTAAAAAGGATATAACAAGAGTCAGAAGGACACTAACAAAATAGAAAAGCAACACATAATAGCAATTATCTAGAAAAAAAAGAAGACACAAGAAAACAATATCACAAATGAAATTACTACAACTCTTACAAACATATAAAGGAGAATGTTATGAAGAACTTTATGGCAATAAATTTGAAAACTTACGTCAAATGAACAAATTCTTAGAAAAATGTAATCTACTAACGACGACTTAAGAAGACACAGAAAACCTGAACAGTCCCACAAGTAGTAAAGAATATACCTCAGCGGCCTAAACTCTAAGCCCATATCAGTTCATTAATAAATTTTACCAAACTCTAAGGAAGAAATAATTCTGATATTAGTCAATGCATCCAAGAACAAAATGGGAACGTTCCCAAATAATTTTATGAAACTAGAATAATATTGACAAGGAAACCTGAGAAGAATATGAAAAAGGAAAATTAGAGGTCAATTTCATTCATGAACAGAATACAAAATGAAATGATGATGTGGACACACATAAAATGTGAATTCTGCAAAGTATGAAAATACACCATGCAAGTTTAGCTTAAAGTAGAAAACCAATTAAAAGATTATTTATATTCTTATTATTAGAATATTATAGATTAAAAGAACAAAAATGAAACAAACACAGAAAAAGCATTTGATAAAATATAACCACCATTCATAATGAAATCTATTACCAAACTAGGAATAGAACTTCCCTAATCTAGACATCAAATTATATCTACCAAAAATTTAAGAGCAAACATCATGGTACAATCTTGAAAATTTTTCCTGTATGATCAGAAGTTACAAAACAAAGATGTACAGAAGAGTTAACAAAGCAGGCCTGAGACTGTTATCTTTTGAAGGTTCTGCTTGCAAGGCTGGCCCTTGGCTGGTGTCAGGGAATTTGACTGACTGGTAAACGGTTCCCTGCACTGACATAAAACATTTCCTAAAATGATAAGAGTGATTCAGTGTGTCTCAATTGTTTGTATACACATGTGGTTTTATCTGCTTTCCTTCTGGGAGTCTGGAATTTGGCACATGCTAGGCAGAGGGTGCTTCTTCAACCAGCTCCCAATAAAAACCCGGGGCAGTGAGTTTCTAATGAGCTTCCCTGATAGACAGTACTTCACACATGTAATCACAACTCATTACCAGAGGAATTAACAGTGTACTGTGTGACTCAATGGGAGAGGACTCTGGGAAGCTTGCGACTGGATTCCTCCAGACTTTGCCTGGAATGCTTTCTCCTTTTACTAATTTTGCTCTGTATCCTTCCACTGTAATAAATCTTAGCCATGAGTACAAGTGTACATTGAGTCCTGTGAACTCTTCCAGCAAATCATCAAACCTAGGAGTGGACTTGGTTTAAGATAGGACTTACAACATAAACATCTACTATCATCACTAGTATCTGATGTTGAACTGGAAGTCCTAGCTATTCCAAAAGGCAATAAAAAGAGATTAAAAAGATAAGGATAGAAAGACAGAAATAAATTGTGATGAATTGTTTATAAAGAAAATTTCAAAGAATCTATAGATAAGGTGCTGGGATAGACTTTAATTCTCACTGTAAAATAATGCTCACTATAAAATAAACAACAAAAAAATCTCATTCCTAAATACTAGAAAAGAGACAATACAAATTTTTTTTAAAATGCTACTGAAAATAGCATGAAAAAACAAAGTGCCCAAGAATAAATCTAACAAAAAATGTGCGAGACCTCCACTGAGAAAATTATAGAGAGATATTAAAGGACCCAAATAAAGGCAGAGATACAACACAGTCAAGGCTTTAAAGATTCATTGCTGTAAACAAGTCCAATGACCCAAGTTACTCTATACAATAAATGCAACCCCAATTAAAATTCCCAGGTGGGGAAGGGGGAACTATATGTGTTATAAATACCTTCTATTCTGTGGCTTGTTTTTTCACTCTAGTGTCTTTTGGTGAACAGATGTTCTTAATTTTAATGTAGTCAAATTTATCATATATTTCTTTTATAGTTAGTATTTTTATGTTTTTGTAAAGAAATCCTTCCCTACCTTGAAGTTACGAAGCTATTCTCCCATAATTATTTTTTAAAAGCTATATAGTGTTCCATCTCACATTCATGTTCAAACTTTCAAAAAGCAAACATGCTCAAACCTGTGCCATGGCTCCCATTTTCACTTAGAATACATTAGAGGTCCTCACCAGTTCCTCTAACTTCATGTTCAACGTTCTCCTCTTCACTCAACTATCCTTGTCACCTTGCCTCTCTTTTAATCTCTCCAACACACCAACCTTGCTCCTGATGCAGTCTTTACTTTTGCTTTTGTCTCTAGCTGGAATAGCCTTCCTCCAAATGTTCACAGGACTGCCTGTTGCTCATCATTCAGATAGATGCTTAAACGTCATCTCTCAGAGAAGCTTCTCCTCACCACTGTACTGAAAACAGTACCCTCACAACCTCCCCACAACAAACATCATTTTCATTTTCTTTAATCTTCTGTGCCATCTTTATTTTCCACGTGCACTTAACTCTGTCTGAAATTATATTTGTTCCTCTACTTATCTCCTGGCTCTCTTCCTACAATACAAGCTCCATGAGGGGAACGACTTTTTTTTGGTTACGGCTGTATCCTTAGCAACTGGAACAGCCCCAGCTCATGGTGGCCACTTAAAACATCTTTCGAGTGAAAAAGTGAATCTAATTGATTAGAAGGAATTCTTACTGGAAGGGATGAAAAGAAATACTTACATGTTTATTGCTCATTGGTCTTTTCAAGAAAGCATCTCTAGAAATATGGTCAGCTGTCCTTGCTACATCTTCCAAAAATCGATAATCTAAAAATTTCAAAATAGAAAAATAAATAAATGACATATGCAAATGGCCAGGAAGTATCAACCTACTATGCATAGGATGGCTTACCACTTAGAAGATTCATTTCAGTAAACTGTTGTATTGAAACATATGCAGTTTTATCTCGAACTCCATTGCATGTCATTTCTGCTTTGTGTTTCTTTACACAGGACAAACTGAAGAGACAAGAGGTACTTTTATACTGAGGGAAGAAGGGTACAGACAGAAGTAATAAGGTAGGAAATTACACATACCTGCAGGAGTATCGCAGACAACGTGGACATCTGTACTTTGCTTCTTCTGTACCACAAGTTTCACATCTACAAAAGCCCATATGAAACTTAATAAATTATCAAATATTAACTCTATTTATTTATTTATAAACTTTTACTGCTGAGTCAATTACTCATCATGATCAATTTACAGATATGTAGTCACGGTGAATAAAGCACATGCAGGAAGTGATGAAATAACTTGACAGCTGTCACACATCGCCAGAAAATTCTCCTCTACGAAACCACCTCCAAACGACAACCACATTTACAATGTTGTTAGTGATACGTAATTCAAGAAAACACGTATTAAATTTTAAAAGATCATCTCACTTTAACAGGAGCTGTGTTTAGATATCTTAAACACACACAGACCAGAAAAAGAACATAAGACCCAGTCAAATTTAGAGAGTAGCAGCGAATCTTTTTCCTCAACTCTACACCCAACCTAGAATGGGCATCAAAATAATCTAGAGATGCTATTACCTAATATCTGTCTTAACTGCTCTTCCAGGATCTTGGGATACTGACAACCAAACTACAGCCACTTCTGTTTGGTCCTTGTGCTCTAGACAGTAATAGTCCCAAGAATCTGACCACTCTTTTTTTCAACTATGCTGTCACGTAATCACACACTATGAGGAAAACAATCAAAAGAGACAAACATTCAGAGTACTCATAAAGAAACTAGACAATTGGGCGAGTTCAAGTGTATTTTTGTCTAATTTTAACTTAATCCACTTTGTTGTTGCTGGTTTTATTAGACTTTTTCATCTCTATCCTCTCTCAAAGGACTATCAACTCAAGAGCATATTAAGTCAAGCCAGAATCTGGTCCAAGGGTTTTCTGGTCCCCAGATTTTCACATCCTTACTTGCCATTGGGCGCTACCAACCTCACATATTTTCACTCATTTGTTGTCATCTGACTCTCTTTACAGGGAAGACCTCGCTTCCCAATTCCCCCTCCTGCCCTCCCACCACTCAGGATCAAGGGACCCAAACTTTCACTTATTTTTCATTATTCCACACCCTGCTGGTAGTGTAGTTTCCTTCAATCTGAACAACAGAGGACTCCACAGCTTTATTCCCCCAATGGAGCTCTCCCTGCCCTACCTTGACATGGCCAGTTTCCGCTTGGAGCCCACTGGGGGATTCACCTGAGGCTCTTCTTTCACGTTTGTATCATCCATCACTTCCTTCTTCGGGAAATACTTCTCTTCTTTTACACACGCTTCGTCCATCATTTCCTCTTTTATGTTCCGAACAATAAATGCCTCCTCCTGTTTTATCTCCAAGATACCCTTCTTCTCTTCCTTCACTTCCAGCCAGTCCATTACCTCTTCCTTCACCTTCACTTTCTCTTCCTTTACCTCTGGTTCATCTGCCTTCTCTTCTTTTACCACCAAACTACTATCCATCTCCTGCTTCACCTCCAATGTGCCTGATTTCTCCTCCTTTACCTCAGGCCCATCCTCCACCTCCTGCTTTATCCACTGGCCATCCAACATACCTTCTTCCACTTCCGACCAGTCCATAACTTCTTGCTTCACAGCTGTTAGGTCCACACGCATGTCCTCTGCCCTTTGTCCACTTCCCTCCTCTCCATCCCCTGTCTTCCCCATTCCTATCAGTCCATCCCTCGCCTCTCCACCGCTGGCCTCCTCCCTCCCCAACTCCGGACTTCGCCGCGCCCCCTCAGCTACCCTTTGGAGACCGCCTCCCGACGTCCCTTCATTCTCAGCAGCAAAATCCATCAGCTCACGACCCCTGGCCTCCGCTGGCACACTGTCCTTCAATGGAGCTAGTCCACGCCAAGTGGAATGAATTAGGGACGGGAACACCAACAGCAGCACACGTGTGAAACCGAGAAGCTGCAAGCAGCGCGCACGCCGGCCAAGCAAGAGCCCCAATTGTCGTAAAGCAACGCTTCCGCGCCTTGCCTCTTCACGACTCTGCTCTTTACGGCTCTTTACGAGCTCTTTACGGCTCTGCGGCGGTCTGGCCCAGATCCTCTGAGTCTGCGTGAGGCCACTCCCACCGTGAACCCGCCTCCAGGGCGGGGCTTCCTCAAACCTTTCCCCCAGGGAGGCCTCCTCGGCCGCTCTGTTGGAGCGGGGTTCATGCTCTTCTTTGCAAAGAGAGTGGAAGAACCTGGCCGAGGGGAGGGGAGAGAAGCCCTCATCGGCTTGGAATGGGAAAACTCACTCTAATCTGTATCAACGGTTAAATCTAACCTTGTATGAAAATGGAAGAAACACCTACTGTTACCCGTCTTCGAGCTTCGGAGTCTAAACCTGTACACTAGAGGCGGTGGTATTAGAAATCTCAGCGTTATTGTGAACATTAAATGGAATCGTGATGGAAATCAGCTAGCAGTGACTGAAACAAACAGTATATGATGACTGTTACTACTGTGAATCTTGATAGGTTTCAGGTAGGAAAGAGGGCATTAATTTTTATTCTTCCAATTCATTGTCAGTAACGTCCACGTCATCCAGTTTCCCATTTCCAGCATCCTGCAGGATTCTTTCTAAGAGAATATATAGATCCCTATGTAAAGACTGGGCCAAAAGTCCAATCTCCAGGACTAGAAGATCAGAAAAAACACACATCCAAAAAAAAAAAAAAACCCTTGCATCTGTTTCAGTTACTTTTAAAAATGATTATTACATACTGAGCATTAGGCATGTTCACTTAATCTTCACATCATCTCTGTGAGATTTTTATTTTTCTTGCTGTATAAGGAGACTTCAAAGGAATGGCTCTTACCTGTGCGCTGCTTTGTGCTACCCCCTCAAACCCTGTTATAGTTCGCAGGGCTTTTAGCTGTCATCAGTCTTTCACAGTTGGTTAAGGAATGGGAATTTTGAATGGGTGAGCAGAGTGAGGAAGAGAGGTACTTGTGAAACCTTAGTTGGGGCAACACAGATTGTGCAGCATTGGAAGAAGCATTGAAAAAGGGCCCCTTTTTCTAGTGTAAAGATGTAATCTAGCCTGAAGATCAAGTCAGGGACTTTTGACTGGGTGGACACATGGTACTTCTAAGTATCTCCAAAAAGATGCTGTCTATATCCTCTGAAAGCTTCTTTCTCACAACCCTATAAGAAGATTATATTAAACTCTCCCAACTTACCTCGACACCTGCAACCTGAAAGCAGCAAGCAGCAAGTTTAACTAGTCAGAATAACGCTTGGTCCTAGAGTCCTCTAACAGTAGTGACTCAATTGTTGGATCCTTTTAAAGGCTATCAATTATGATTTGGCCTCCTGAATCATGATTTATTTGTTTGATCTGAATCATGCTTTTGCCAATAATAGATCTAGCCAATTCTTTGGAAGCAGTTGCTTGTGTTGTAATACTAGGCCCATCCAAATATAGGCCCATACTATGCCATTCTCCCTGCTAAAGAAGAATCACTCCAAGGACCAACCTGTGGTTTCTTCCCCAACCTCTTATTTCTGTGTCCTAACCTCAGAACCCAAGCCCAGGAAATGAATCTGGCTCCTGATCACCTATAGGATGAAAAAATGTAAGCTTCTCAGCAAGGCCTCCAAGGCCTTGGTGACGAGGCTTCTGATGACCTGTCTACCATCTCTCCCTCCTTTCTCATCAGAATGGATACACTCCAGCCATACCTAACTTATCTGATGTTCCCTGAACAGACTACACGTTTTCATTCCTCTGTCTGGAAAGCTCTCCTGCCTTGTCCCCCTGGCCCACTCCTATTCATTCTTCAAGTTAGCTCCTCGGTCCCAGACTACCGCAATAAGGCAAATATCGCAATAAAGCAAGTGACACAAAGTTTTTGGTTTCCCAGAGCATATAAAAGTTACATTTATACTATACTGTAGTCTGTTAAGTATGCAATAGCATTATGTCTGGAAAAAAAAAACAATGTACATAGCTTAATTAAAAAATACTTTAGGGGCCGGCCTGGTGGCAGAGCGGTTAGGTGTGTGTGTTCTGCCTCAGTGGCCCAGGGTTCGCTGGTTTGGATCCCGGGTGCGGACATGACACCACTTGGCACACCATGCTGTGGTAGGTGTCCCACATGTAGAGTAGAGGAAGATGGGCATGGGTGTTAGCTCAGGGCCTGTCTTCCTCAGTGGAAAGAGGAGGATTGGCAGCAGTTAGCTCAGGGCTAATCCTCCTCCTCCTCAAAAAGAAAAGCTTTATTGCTAAAAAATGCCAGCCATCATTTGAGCCTTCAGCAAGTCATAATCTTTTTGCTGTTGGATGGTCTTGTGTTGATGTTGATGCTGCAAATGAGATTTGAAACCAAATGAGTTTTGGCTTCAACTTAAATTCACCAGCTGCATTAGCCTCTAATAGGAGAGCCAGGCTGTCCTTTGAAGCCAGGCATTGACTTCACCTCTCTAGCTACGAAAATCCTAGATGGCGTCTTCTTCCAATATAAGGCTGTTTCATCCACATTGAAAATATGTGGTTTAGTATAGCCAGCTTCATTAGTTATCTTAGCTAGATCTTCTGGAGAACTTGCTGAAGAAGAAGCTTCTTCAGAAGCTGCAGCTTCTTCACTTTGCACTTTTATGTTATGGAGACAGCTTCTTTCCTTAAACCTCATGAACCTACCTCTTCTAGCTTCAAATTTTTCTTCTGCAGCTTCCTCACCTCTCTCAACCGTCATAGAATTGACAAGAGTTAGAACCTTGCTCTGGATGAGGCTTTGTCTTAAGGGAATGTTGTGGCTTGTTTGATCTTCTATCCAGAGCACTAAAATTTTCTCTGTATCTGCAATAAGCCTGTTTCAATTTCTTATCATTCATGTGTTCAGTTGAGTAGCACTTTGAATTTCCTTTAAGAACTTTTCCTTTGCTTTCACAACTTGGCTAACTGTTTCGTGCAAGAGACCTGGTTTTCAGCCTATCTCGGCTTTCAACTTGCCTTCCTCACTAAGCTTAATCATTTTTAGTTTTGTTTTAAAGTGAGAGATGTACAATTCTTCCCTTCACTTGAACACTTAGAGGCCGTTGTAGGATTATTAGTCAGCCTAATTTCAATATTCTTGTTTCTCAGGGAATAGGGAGGCCCGAGGAGAGGATAAGAGACAGAGAATGGCTAGTCGCTGGAGCAGTCAGAACACACACAACGTTTATCAATTAAGCTTGCTGTCTTAATGGGAGCGGTTTGTGGTGCCCCGAAACAATTACAATAGTAAAATCAAAGATCACTGATCGCAGATGACTGTAACAAATATAATAATAATGAAAAAGTTGTAAATATTTCGAGAATTACCAAAAGGTGACAGAAAGACATGAAGTGAGCAAATGCTGTTGGAAAAATGGTGCCAATAGACTTGCTTGGCCCAGGGTTGCCACAAATCTTCAATTTGTAAAAAATGCAATCATCTGTGAAGTGCGATAGAGTGAAGTGCAATAAAACGAGGTATGCCTGTATTGTCAGTCTGTTTGATTATGGGTATATAATAGTGTCTTGTGAATTTACTTTGCATTTCCTTATGTTTAATGATGTTGAGCATCTTTTCATGTGCTTACTGGCTATTTGTATATCTTCATTAGTGAAATGTTTATTCAAATCTTTTACCTATTTTTAATTGAGTTGTCTTTTTATTATCAAATTGTAGCAGTTATTCATATATTATAGATAAAAATCTTTGGTAGACAGCTATCAAAATATTCCCCAATGATCCCCACCCTCTGTATTCGTACCAATATGTAGAACCTTCCAAAATTATCCCAAGATTGGTCTCTGTTACCGATAGCACACAGCAGAAGTAATATTATGTTACTCCCAAGATTAGGTTTGAAAAAGGCTGTGGTTTCTGTCTCAGGCAATTGTTTTCTTACCCTCTCTCCTAGATCACTCACTCTGGGGGGTGCAAGTTGCCATGTTGTCAGTGGCACTACAGAGAGGCCCATGTAGCAGGGAGCTGAAGTCTCTGGCTGTTATAGGCCGAACTGTGTTCCCCCAAATTCTTATAATGAAGCCATAGTCCCTACTACCTCCAAATGTGGCTGTATTTGGAGATAGACCTTTAAAGAGGGGATTAAATTAAAAGGAGGCCACTTGAGTAGGCCCTAATCCAATATGATGGATGTAGTTATAGGAAGAAGAAATTTGGACACAAAAAGAGACACCAGGGATGTATGCACCCAGAGAAAAGACCATGTGAAGACACAGCAAGAAGGCAATCACCTACAAGCCAATGTGAGAGGCCTCAGAAGAAAGCAAACCTGCCGACACTTTGATCTTGGACTTCCAGGCTGCAGAACTGTTAGAAGATAAATTTCTGTTGCTTTAGCCTCTCAGTCTATGATATTCTCTTATAGCAGCCCTAGCAAACTAGTACACTGGCCATCTATCAGCAAGGAACTGACACCTGTTAACAGCCATGGAACTGTACTTGGAACATTGTACATGTAACAAGTCTTGACATGACTGCAGCTCTGGCCAATAGCTGCACCCAGATTCTTCATACTAAAATTGTGTGAGATAATAAATATTTGTTGTTTTAAACAGCTAAGTTTTGGGGCAGTTGTTCCACACCAATACATAATTAGTACCAAGTAGTTGTATGGTTTTCAAATATTTTCTCCCAATCTGTGGCTTGTTTTCATTTTCCTAATTATGTCTTTTAAAGAGCAAAAGTTTTACATTTCAATGAAGTGCAATTTATCAAATGAATTGTACTTTTTGTGTCCCACCACTAAATTTTTGTCTAGCCCATGGCCCCAAAGATTTTCTCCTATGTTTTCTAGTATTATAGTTTTAGCTCTTACATTTTGGTCTATGATCCATTTTGAGTTTTTTGTTTGTTTATAGGGTAAAATAAGGATTTGAGTTCTTTTTTTGCATATGGATGTATCATTGTCCAAGCACCAATTGTTGAAAAGATTATCCTTCCCCCTTGAATTGCCTTGACATTTTGTCAAAAATCAAGTGACCACAAATATAAGGACTTATTTCTGGACTTTCTATTCTCTTTCATTGATCTATATGCCTATGTTTACACCAATACCACAGTCCCTTGATTACCATAACTTTATAGTAAGTTTTAACACCAGGTAATGTGAATCCTCCTAATTTGCTCTTCTATTTCAAAATTGTCTTGGCTGTTCTAGGTCCTTTGCATATACATATAAATTTTAGGATCAGTTTATCAATTTCTACAAAAGAGCTTGCTGGGATTTTGACAGGGATTGTGTGGAATATATAGAATAATTTGGAAAGAATTGGCGTCTTAACAACAGTATGTCTTACAATCCATGATAATGAATGTCACTCATTTATTTAGATTGTCTTTTATTTCACTTAAAAACGCTTTGGAGTTTTTAGTGTACAAGTTTTTGTAGGTCTTTTGCTAAATTTATTCCTAAGTATATTATTCTTTTTTGATATGATTTTGAAAGGAATTATTTAATTTCATTTTTGTGTTTTTCATTGCTAGGATATAGAAATACAATTGACATTTGTATATCGAATTTGTGTCTTGAAAACTTACTAAAATCATTTATTATATATTACATATATATAGCTGGGCCTAATTAGCTAATATTTTGTTTAGGAATTTTCATGTATGCTTATGAGGGGTATTTATCTATAGCTCTTTTTTCTTGTAATGCCATCAGGTTTTGTTATCAGGGTTCTCTCCATATTCTTTAACTTTTATGTTTCCCATCTCTTTATTGCTTCCAGATACTTTCTGGGAGAGTTCCCCAACTAATTTCTACCTTACTAATTTGTCATTTGATGCTATGCAATCTGTTAGTCAACCCATCCACTAAGTTCACTTCAATCACTATATTTTTCATAGCCTGTATTTCCAGCTTATTATTGCCTCATGTTGCTAATATTCTCCCTTGTCTCTTTGGAGGTATTTCTCTTACTCATTTAAAATTTCTCACTTTCCTTCTTTTTTGGTCCATTAATTCTGCTCCTCTAGTACAAATTGTCCAGTTTTCTGAAAAATATTTCTTTTATGGAATTGTACTCCTCAGATGTTGTAACATTTTCCCCCGTGACCTCATATTCCCTTGGGAGCATCAGCAACATTAGCTGTAATTCATATTGAAAGGGAGGATCAAAAGTCTGAGACTTGGACTGTGATTCTTCTGGTGATTTTTTTCTTTTTTGAGGGGGGCAGGTGAAGGGGAGAGTGGATGAGCCTTACCACAGAAAGCCTCTGGTGTTACAAACTGGGCTCCACTACTCCCAGTCTGCCTTTCCCTGAGGAGAACAAGGCCCTCCAGTCACCTCCCAGGACCCCTGCATTTGCCGTCCCTTTTTCAAGAGCTACTGTATTCTGTAGTATTACCTAGACCCCAGGATGGAAGAAAGAGAAGAGGAGAACTGTTCCAAGCCAAACTGTACACACAGTTATCAGCCTCCCAGATGTTATTCTGCCTCCTTGGGAAGCTGCTGGGCTGGCCCTGCTATTTCCATGCCCACTTTGAGTTAGGGCAGGCCATGATCCACCCAGGGTAATATGGGTAGAAAAGGGCATAATCAGAGATTCTAGCCCTCTATTCCACCCCTGAACTCCATCAGTGTTCCTCTTTGACTGCAGGCTTTCCTTTCTCCACCACAGTGGGACCCAATTACCTTTAATCTCCCAGAGAGTTCTCAGAGTTTCTCAGTTAGGCTCCAAGATCCATCACCACCCTCTCACTTACATGGCATCTTCAGGATTAGAGTTGGGGACTCCAGGAGGCAATAGTTTTGTTAGTTTGCTATCTTTTCAGGAACTAGAATTCACCAGATTGAACTTTTTAGAAATAGTGATGGTAATGAATTTCTGAAATGATTTGAAGTGTGTGCCAAATATCGTTCCTACTGCGCTTCCCATGACATTGCTCAAATTTTCCCAGTATGCCAAGATTCATTATATTCAGAACTTTGAGGCAATGCAGTAATTCCTGTCAGCTTGTCCACGGACTGTTGCATCAGCATCACTTGGTGTACTTGATCAGAAACAGATTTCTGGGCCTTTTCTTAGGGGCACTTGATCAAAATGGAGAGAGCTGCTGGGAAATCATTTTAATGAGTGTCTCTGTGTATACTTCTGATGTACAGTCAGGTTCGGGAACCACTGGATGAAAGCATTACAACTGCACTGTCCAATACAGTAGCCAATAGCCACAGTGGATATCGAGCGCTTGAAAAGTGCTTATCCAAATTGAGATGTGATGTAAGTATAAAATATACACTGGATTTCAAGGATGTAGTGCAAAAAAAGAGAGTGTAAAGTATCTCATTAATAATATTTTATATTGATTACTTGTTGAAATGATAGTATTTTAGGTATATTAGGTTATGTATAATATATTAAAATTAATTTCACCTGTTTCTTATAGCGTTTTTAATGTGGCTACTAGAAAATTTAAAATTACAGATGTGGCTCATATTATATCTCTATTGGACAGTGCTACACTAGAAGATGTTATTAAAATTCAAATTTCTGGGGCCAGCCCCATGGCTGAGTGGTTGGGTTCACACGCTCCACTTCAGCGGCCCAGGGTTCGGATCCTGTGCGTGGACATGGCACCGCTCATTAGGCCATGTTGAGGCGGCGTCCCACATGCCACAACTAGAAGGACCCACAACTAAAATATACAACTATGTACGGGGGGGATTTGGGGAGAAAAACAATTCAAATTTCTATTAGATGTGGTTAACATAATTGAGCGAATACTCAAGAATTAGCTAAGCATATTAGTTCACTTATAAATTTGTTAATTCAGTCAATAAATATTTGTCTCTTCAATTCATTCTCCAAATTACAGACCAAGCATTTTTGCAAATCACATGTCTGAAAATACCAGTCACCTCCTTAAAAACTTTCAATGCCTAATTGTTTCTTGTAGGATAAAAAACGAAATCCTTCTTGTAGCCTTGCAAAACCCCTTATTTCTGGCCCATATCTTCTCTTCAGTCTCATCTCTGATTACTCATCCTTCAGATGGCAAGTAAGCACTACTTCCCTAGGGAGGCATTCCTTAGCCACTCCTCCTTCCTCTGCTCCAGCCTAGGTCAGAGTTTTTGTGTATGTGTGTTTCTTTCAGAGCACTTATTTCACGTCGTAATTATACATTCATGAATATTATCATTTCATTAATATCTGTTTCTCTCCCAGATAGTAAGCTCATTGAACACAGGGACCTTGCCTTTTTTGCTCTATTTGAATTGCCAACTCAGAGCACAGTGTTTACTTTACAAAACACAATAAAACATGAAGACAGGAAGGACTTGAGCACCTACTTGCATCATGCACTGTGCTATTTCGTGAGATTATAAACATTAAAATGAACACTCTGCCTTCCGGGAGATCACAGTTTAGTGAAGGGAGACAAACATGTGAAGAGCAATAACAGCACAGTGAAGCAAGTGTAGCCTGTAGAACGTGACCTAAAGAGGAAGCAGCATAGGAAAGGTTTCCCGAGGAGCTAACTTGAAGAATGAGTAGGAGTGGGCCAGGGAGACAAGGCAGGAGAGCTTTCCAGAAAAAGTGTAGTCTGTTCAGGGAACATCAGATAAGTTAGGTATGGCTGGAGTGTATCCATTCTGATGAGAAAGGAGGGAGAGATGGTAGACAGGTCATCAGAGGCCTCGTCACCAAGGCCTTGGAGGCCTTGCTGAGAAGCTTACATTTTTTCATCCTATAGGTGATCAGGAGCCAGACTCGTTTCCTGGGCTTGGGTTCTGAGGTTGGGACACAGAAATAAGAGGTCGGGGAAGAAACCACAGGTTGGTTCTGGGTGTGATTCTTCTTTAGCAGGGAGCATGGCATCCTGTGCTTTGGATGGGCCTAGTATTACAACACAAGCAACTGCTTCCAAAGAATTGGCTAGATCTGTTATTGGCAAAAGCGTGATTCAGATCAAACAAATAAATCATGATTCAGGAGTTTCAATCATAACTGATGAGCCTTTAGAAGGATCCAACAATTGAGTCATTGCTATTAGAGGAATCCAGGACCTAATACAGAAGGCAAACTATTTGCTACAGAGAAGTATGTGAAACAGATTTCTAAAATGATTTTAGAGAAGAATTTTCTGAAAAAAATTCTAGAAAAAATTTATTATTATACTTTTAACACCTGAAATCTGAAAGCAGCAAGTCCCACTAGCTAGAATTTTACTTGGTTATGAAATTAAACTAAGTAAATTCCAATTGTTTTAATTTCTCACTTCCAACTATTACACCAAAATCTTATATGTGTCTACTATTAAGTTCTGTACAAAGTTTTCTATTTTTTCATCGTAGGAAGAGACAGAAAAATATTATATATTTTTAAAATACATAATACATAATAAAACATAATATTTTTCTATGGCATATTGAGTTATGTAGGAAATATCTGGGAACAAATAAACATTATTTTAACAGTGAATGTTTTATATAGTATCTTGGCATTTGTATTGGTAATTAAATGGCTTAATCTGTTTTACAAATTGGAAATGTTCAAGTGAGAAAAATTGAGTGTAATACTAATAAAGTTCAAGTAAAGTTTTATTGTCTA